TTGTACAGCTGGAACTTTTTTTTTTTTAACTAAATTGTATTTAATTTAATTTAATTTGAATTTAAATGCAGCTTTGTGTGGTTAACACACAAGCTCATAACAGCAGTGATTTAGAAACAAGATTATGGAGCTGGAGACATGGCTTAGACATTAAGAGCACTTGTTGGTCTTGCAGAGGACATGAATTCGATTCCCAACACCCATAACAGGCAGTTCATACCCACCTGTGACTCTAGTTCTCTTCTGGCCCCCTTGGACACCTACACACATGTAGCACACACACACACACACACACACACACACAAAATCTTTTTTTAAAAAATCCACCAAGATTACTTTTAAGCTATGACTTTAGTCATAGAGTAAATAAAATGCTGTTACCACTGCAGATCACAGCAACACAAGAAAACTATCTCCCAAAGACTTCCCATAGTTCACTTTGAGTTGACTTTTTAGCATGATACAAAGTGAGAATAAAGATAGAGGCTTGCTTTCCCTGCTGCCTAGTTATCCCATTGTCCCAGTAATGCATGTTAAAAAAGTACTTCAACATATTGCCAAATGCTGGACTCTTCCTTTCCACTAGCCTTGTTCTAAGTTACCATGGCTTACCAGCAAGGCTTGAGAATGGAGTCTTCCTGATTTTTCAGAGTTATTTTGATTAGTGTAAGTCCAGTTTGCAAAATGGTAGTAAATAGTGATCCTAGAGCTTGTTCCAGGAATAATAAGTTAATTCAGCATTGGCTAGTTTTACATTTGTGTAAAACTGAAAAAGAAAATCATTTAATCATCTCCATAGATGCAGAAAAGGCAATTGGCTAAATTTAACATCTATTTATAATAAAACCCTTGAGAAAAATATTAATAGAACAAAAAGGGACCTGCTTCATAGCAACCAAATATTTACAAAAACTTCCAGTTAATAGCCTAGGTTAGGGTGAAAGCTTGAACGCTTTTCCTCTGTGAACAAGATAAGGTTATCTGCACCTAGCATTGCCCTGGAGTTCTAGCAGCACAACAAGGAATGGAAAAAAAAAAAAAAAAAGGATTAGAAGAAATAAGTATTGTTTTTATTTGCAGATTATTCACACAGGGGAAAGAACAAAAAGAAGAACCTGCTAGAACAAATACGTGACTCTAGCAAGGTTCATGAATTCATACTCAGCGTACATAACTAAATTGTATTTCTAGTACTAATGAATAATTGGAAACTGAAATAAAGAGAACTAAAATTTGCAGTGATACCCAAATTATGTGCAAGATTTGTATGCTAAAAGCTACAAGAAATTCATAATAAGTTGTATCTGAATAAATTGGAGCTTGTCATATTAGTAGATCAAAGACTCAATGTTTTTAATGTGCCAGTTTTCCAGATTCATATGTAGATTAGTCCAGTTCAACCCATTCATAATTCCAATAGGGTCTTTACAAGGGCTGGGGATATAGCTCAGTTGTAAAATACCTGCTTGCTTTGCATGCATAAGGCCCTAGATGTAATCCCTAGCGCTCGCTTAAAAAAAAAAAAACCAAAAAACTATTTCTATAAGAAAGATTGGTTCTGTTATAGCAGAGGAGAAGATTTTTGCTTATTTGTTGTAATAGATATCAGCAAACATAATTTCAGAAAATCTTTCTAGGAGAGTTGGTGCATGAAAATACTATTTTAAATATAATATTAAGTAGTTTAACACTTTTTTTGGGTTAAACTCAATTAGTCCAATACTATGAGATAGTATTATTCATATTTACCAGATAATAAGTCATGTAACTTAAAAGGCTGAATTCTGACATATGCAGGCTCTGGGTCTTGTTCTCTTAACTGCTACCCAATTTTGTTTCCTTTCTAAGTACTGACTACTGAGTTTTTATTTGAAGATTACATTCAAGTGCAAGTTTATACAAAGCTCAGTCAGCCAGTATTCCCATTACTGTGTAGGAGGTTGCTGGTGAAGGAAGGCATGAAGAGTGGGTAGTGGATTACTGAATTCTCTAGAGAGAGAACTGGTAGCACAAATACAGATTGACTGATGTGATTAAGAGAGGAATTGGCTCACACAGTTATGGAGGTCGAGAAGTCCCCTAGTGTGCAAGCTAGAAAAGCAAGCAAACAGTATCGTGACTGATCCAAGTCCAGAGGCTCAGCTAAGCTCCTTAGTGGAGCGCCCAGTCCAAGGCTGATGGCTGTAGAATTCAGCTCCTGGAGCCCAAAGGCTTGAAGAGGTTCTCCCTTCCAGAGAGACTGACTTGTCTTTCCTTTGCCTTTTTTCTGCCTTTTCATTCTATCCTGGACAATGACCCCCCACCCCACCCACACACACATAGTTGATTGGATAGTGTCTACCCATGATGAAGACAAGGGCAGCTCTTACCTCACTTGGTCCACAAACTCATTTACAAAACATACCTCCCAAAACATCCCCAAACATGTTAAAATTTTATTTTCATTTTTATATTCAGTGGCAATTATTTGTTATCATTGGAGAATGAGTGGTTGGATTTTGTTGTTGTTGTTAATTGGGGTTTTGTTTTTTATTTTGTGACAGAGTCACTGTAGCGAAGCCTGGCCTGGAACTCACTAGGTGTGATGGCATACACCTTTAGTCCCAGCACTTGGAAGGCAGAAACAGGTGCATCTGGTGGATTGCTGTGAATTCAAGGGCAGCCTGGTCTACATAGTGAGTTCCAGGCCAACTGAGGCTACAGGGATATCCTGTCTCAAAACAAACAAAACAAAACAAATATCAGTTTTATAAGCAAGGATTGGCTAAGGTTAGGTGAATAATGGCAAACACATAATATCCTAATTTATGTATGGTATTAGTTAATATAGTGTCTTGGTGGCTATATTTTGCAAACTTAAAAAGATAGGGGTTTTATGGCTTTTTGAGTGTGAAAGTCAGCCTGTGAAATACATAAAGACTTTGAAAACTTGGGATTTACAGGCTGTGACTTCTTAGTCCAGCATCAGAATCTGTCTGGAGCATTTTCAGCCACCCCCTCGTGTCTTCCCCAGTCTAATTTAGTGATCAATTATCAATTAGGGTATTCTAGATTTAACTCTGATATGCATCTAGGTTGAGATTCATTAACATTTGGAAACACTTGTTTAGAATATCCAAAGCTTGGGCCATCTGAAAAATAGACTGTGTGATCATTGTGTTTCATAAAAACTGAGAGTACACAAAGTTGTCAGAAAAAAAGTGATGGGGAAATATGGGAGGTGTTGGAGGGGAGGGAGTGGGCATGAATTTGATCAAAACACCTTATATGTGTGTATGAAATTCTCAATAAAGTTTTTTTTAAGTTTTTTTTTTTTTTTTTTTTTTTTAAAGCTGAATTCTTAGTTCTCATGAGTGGCTGTCAGCATCCAGACGTCTGCTCTAAACTCATTCATTCCTGTCTATCAGAATATACTCCTCCCTCTCCATTCTCATGTTATCATTCTGCTTATAATTGGTTGTGCATAGCTCTGAAAGTGGTTGACATGCCCATAACCACTCCGTCTCAGACCCCCAATATCTATGATTATTGGAGTATTTTCTTTGGGCATTTCCTGACGTAATGTTTTCTCTTGTTGCTGATTGCTGTTTTCAGAGGTGACTGATCGATCTTTGAGTTCCCAGATGGGAAATATAAAGAAAGAGTCTTTTATATTAAACTGAAGGATAGTAAAGTAATAACCATGAAAAGTAAAATTATTAGTGCCTCGTTATTTAAAAATTAGAGGGAATCTGAACTGAAAAGACTTAAGAGTTTACCTAGTGTAAATTCCAGATTTATAAGTAAAATTCAACTGAAAGAGGAGGATTGACTTTTCAAAGATAAACACAGATAAAATAGGACTCAGTTACATGGCAAAGAAAGCAATTGAACTTTTCATAATTTGAAATTAAAATTATTAATATGGTTTACAATAAATATCACATTCATTAACCAAACTTTTACAAATTGTTACTTTTATCATTGCTGCTTATTAATTTCCTTTAAAAGAGTCCAAATAATCACCATTTAAAGAAAAAAAATATTTAGTATCTTAGAGTTGCTCCAGGGGTAGGATGAGACCTTCGCAGGAAATTTAGCTAGTCTTACAGGTATGAGATTTTTATCTTTCCATTCAATTGATTAGAAAATAAAACTGTTGGTAACGTATCTTTAATAAACTTGTTCTATTTGTTCATTTTCTTTTCAATACATTCCAGTTAAAGAGAAATTAACTGCAGACCCAGACAGTGAAATAGCTACGACCAGCCTACGGGTTTCTCTCCTGTGTCCAGTAAGTAGCTAAGACTTGCTTTTGAAGGTTGATACACATTTTCTTTTTCTGTAGAGTATGTAAGAAATTCTGTTTCCTTTTCAGGTACACCCACTACTCTTACAGTTTATCAAAATGGAAAGATATTGAGGCACAAGACTTGTACCTAAACAGTTCTAAAGTATTCCTTACTTTTCTTTTGTTTTTTGAGACAGGGTCTCTTTGTAGTGCCAGCTGGCCTGGAACATTCTGGCCTCTACCTTCAGAGCGCTGGGATTAAAGGCATGTGTCACCCCACACTCAGCTAAGTATTCCTTACTTTTAGGTCTAAACACTGCCTTCAGTTAATGACTGTTTCCTAGGCACTAGTTAAAATATTAAAACCAAAGAATGCTTCTGGTTTCAGTGTATTCTTAAAACTTTCACTTTTAAGCCAGGAGTAGTGGCACACACCTTTAATCCCAACACACAGGAGGCCAAGACAGGTGGATCTCTGTGAGTTCAAGGCCAATATGGTCTACATAGTGAGTTCCAGGCCTGCTGGGGCTACAAGGAGACCCTGTCTCAAAAAGACCGAAAAAACCCTTTCACTTTTAAAAACAGGGCTCTGTGTTTAAAAAATTGAGTCATAGACCCAGGCGTGGTGGCACATTCCTTAAATCTGAGCACTTGGAAAGGAGAGGCAGGCAGATCTCTGTGAGTTCGAGGCCAACCTCGTCTACATAGCAAGTTCTACTCCACCAGGGCTAGCACAGCCCTGTTTCAAAAAAACTAAGGCATAATTACCTACCCATGCAATTTAACCATTTTGTCAACACCTACTGTAAGAATCCTCCAATTAAAAACCATTCTGTTCCCAACACCACCCACTGGGAAGGGTGACACACACCTATAATCCCAGTTGTGGGGAACTGAGGCAAGTAGCAGGGCTCTGTTCTGGGGGAAAGAAGACATTCTATTCTGCCTAATGGAAATTTGTATGGTTCTAGAATTAACAGGAATACTTTTAAGCCATAAAATGCAGTAAAAAATCAGTCATTTGATTATTATTTTTATTTTATGTGAATGAGTTTTGTCTGCATGTATGTACGTGTGCCGTGTGCATACAGTGCCCACAGAGGCCAGAAGAGAGCATTGGAGCCCCTGGAACTGGAGTTACAGATAATAGTTAGCCGCCATGTGGATGCTGGGAATTGAACCCAGGTCCTCTGTAAGAACAGCAAATGTTCTTAACTGCTGAGCCATCTCTCCAGCAAAAATCAGTCATTTGAATGAAACAAATAGAATATTGTAAGACTTGACCAAAGTATTAAACCTCTGGAGAGAAAACTGTACTATTATAGTTTATTTCAGGGGGCTGGAGAGATGGCCCAGGGGTTGAGAGCACTGACTGCTCCTGCAGAGGACTGGGGTTTGATTCCCAGCACCCACATGGTGGTTACGGACCATCCTTAACTCCAGTTCTAGGGGAATCAGGCGCCCTCTTCTGACCTCTGCAGCATTGCACGACACAGGTGCTCTCACATACATGCAGGCAATACACTTGTACACATAAAATAAAAATAATAGGGCTGGGGAGATGGCTCAGCGGTTAAGAACACTGGTTGTTCTTGCAGAAGACCCGGGTTCAAATCCCAGCACCCACATGGCAGCTAACAGCTGTCTATAACTCCAGTCCCAGGGGATCTGAACAGCCTCTTCTGACCTCTGCCAGCATTGCATGACACGGGCACACTTAACTACATGCAGGCAATACACGTATACACATAAAATAAAAATAATAAAATTAAAAAAAAATTCTTTAAAAAAAATAAAAATAAAAATAATAAATTTTTTTTTTTAAGTTTTATTTCATAACTGATTTGATGTTAGGTCCACCAAAAGCAGGGATGGCAGTTGAATCTAGCTTTCATATGAAAATAGATGGAAAATTAATAATAAATTACTCTGACATTTTGATTACCTTTTGTTCTATAATTAATCAAATTAGTCATATTTAAATGTATGAAGACTGAAAGAACACATCTATTTCTGGATTTGCCTGAATTGTTCAAACAGGCCTGGTAGTAAAAGCTTTCGGTATTGAAATCCTGCTATTAAGATGTTCATAGTGCCTGTATTCTTAAAGAAACAAAGAATTTGAGCAAAATTGAAGTGGTATTTGACCTACATCTGTCTTTTATCATTTAGTAAGCCTTCAGTACAATATGAAAAAGTTATCAGTGCATGAATTAATTTACAATTACATACATACTTTTTTTTTATTCCTTCTTTTTGGGGGGTGGGGGTCTTTTTATTTTGAGACAGTGTCTCTCAGTAGCCCCAGCTGTCCTGGAACTCACTATGTAGACCAGGCTGGCCTTGAACTCACAGAGATCCACCTGCCTCTGCCTCCTGAGTGCTAGGATTAAAGGCGTGCACCACCACACCCAGCCTACATATCCCTTTTAAATAAAACTTTTTTGCTAATGGAATGCTCTTTATAAAACTTTGTAAGTAATAGGAAAAAACACAGCACAGTTAGAGCCCACTAAATCCTGACCAGGTGGATGTGTCATTCTATTCTGCATAGAACCTCTTGATTTTCTTTATAGCCGGTCTTTTCCTTAAGAAAAATATCTTTATGTTTTTATTAAAAATTCTTTAATAGCCATGTGTAGTAGTGCACGCCTTTAAAAAAACAATACTTTATGTATACGAGTGTTTTGCCTTCATGTATGCAGTGCCCATTGGAGGCCAGGAAAGGGTGTCAGATCCTCTGGAATTGGAGTGACAGAAGGTTGTTAGCCACCATGTCAGTGCTGGGAACTGAACATGGGTCCTCTGGAAGAGCAACCAGTAAGCACTGGTTCCTGAGCCATATCTTCATCCCTGCACATTCCTTTAATCCCAGCATTCAGGAGGAGAGGCAGGTGGATCTCTGTTGAGTTCTAAGATAAGCTTGGTCTATATAGCAAATTCGAAGCCATCCAGGGCTTCATAGTGAGACCCTGTCTGAAAAAACAAGAAGTAAAACAAAACTATAATAACAAGATAAATTTTTTAGCATACTGTGTGGTAAAGGAAAGTAGATTGTTGTTGCTTATGAATAACTTATTAAAATACAAGGAGAAATATTTAGAAAACAAAGTGATAAATCTAGGTTTTGCTTTTGTTTTGTATGAGTGCTTGCTTGCATGTATATATGTGTATCACTTGTGTGCCTGGTAGCTGTGAAAGCCAGAAGACATCAATAAGATCCCCTGGAACTGGAGTTACAGGCATTTGTTAGGCACCACGTGGGTCCTGGGATTGGAACCTGCGTCCTCTGCAAGAGCAGCCAGTGCTCTTAACCACTGAGCGATCTCTCCAGCCCCACTATCTAGTGTTTAAACAGTCATAAAATTGGCTCAAGACCCTCTCAGGAGATAGAGGCAAACGAATCTCTGTGAGTTCAAGACTGGCATGGTATACATAGTGAGTTCAAGGCCAACTAGAGCTACAGGGAGACCCTGTCTCAAAAAAATTAAAAAAGACTCAAGACCAGAGAAGAAGATGGTGAGACAAATACCTTTAAGAATAAAACTTTTAAATTTTAAAAATATTTTATTCATTTTTCAAAAAATTTTATGTGTATGAGTGTGTTGCCTACATGTATGTAAGTGTACTCGTGTCATGAAAGGCCCTCAGAAGTCAGAAGAAGGTGTTGGATCCCCGGGAACTGAAGTTATTAATGGTTGTTAGCCAAATGGGTACTGGAATCTGAACCCAGGTCCTCTGTAAGAGCAACTGGTACTCTTAACTACTGAGCCATCTCTAGCCCCAGGAATAAAGAATAAAATAATTTGCTGGGTGTGGTGGTACAAACCTTTAATCCTAGCACTCAAGGAAGCAAAGGCAAGTGGATCTACATAGTTCCAGGCCAGCTGGGGCTACAGGGAGACCCTGTATCAAAAAAACCAAAAAATTTTAAAAATTAAAAAATAAAATAATTTAAGCAACCTATCGTGTCCTTCTTTTCTTCAAATCCTGACTTACCCACTCCTCTTTCTTGGCTCCTTGCTGCTTCATTTCATCATAAAATACCAGTTCAGGGAATCTGATCAGAAGCTTCATTCTTCACTTAAAGCACCAGGAAAGTCTTGTTTGTCTGTGTTTCCATCTTAAAAGTGTTTATAGCTGTGCTAATTTATAGTATTTATAACATTTAGCACTTTCATGAAACATTTATTCGTGTAAATAAGCAGTCTGGTGTAAATTGCCACAGTTTTATTTGTAGAACTAGTTTTGCATTTTTATAGTTCAGGTGCTTCCCCCACATTATTAGGAAATGTTCATCACATTTTTACTCCTTTGCCTCTTGGTTTAGTGTGCCAGCTTTAAATTTTTCCTTTGTATTCCTGCTTCTCTCTTGTTCTTTATAGCAGTTTTAGCAGTTCATTTTAAATTGGCATCTGCTTTCAAAATTCAGATTTTTGAAAGCAGCTATATGTAGTGTATAACTACAGTACTTTCATGGGTTCTTATTTGGATAAAGGGATAATCCCTTACAGTTATTCAGTAACAGAATGGCCATATATTTTAGGTATGTTTTTACTCAAAAATAAAGTATAATTGTGACAACTCATCTATATATCAAATTTATGGAATCATAAAATTTCTTCTCTTTCAAATATATAAATATGCCATCTCACTATTTCATTTCTGTTGCCCTTTTGTTATATGCACAGCTCAAATAAATGAGTTTGTGTGCCATTTAGCTAAAAGCAACAAAAATAAAGTGGTTTTGCTTTTTGAAAAATTTTTAATTCTGTTTTGTTAAGAGTAAAGATGGAAAAGTTTTTGAGAACTCATATTGTAAGTTGTTCCACAGACCTCTAAGCCCAGCTGCAAATGACTTGGAGTTATTATAAGGGAAAAAAAAACAAAAACAGACTAGTAATTTACTCAAACTATTATTATGAAAAGTTATGAGATTTTTCTTATTATCACACTTCTTATAAGAAAAAGTACATATTTTAACATTTTCATGTTCTTTTGAT